GCGCAGGTTCTCCCCCGATGCGACAATTCCTTATCGTATCTCCTTCAATGTGAAGGTACTAGTGGTTGTGTTGCTAACAAATAATTTCACAAATTACGTGTATCACATAATAATTTTAATAAAGAACATATAATTTTAAAAAGCCTAAGAAGTTGTTAAGATAGCAATTATGAAGTATACTTTTTACAAATACAATAATGTTTGATTTCCTAACATGATTGAGAGAAATTTTTTTCTGTTACTTTATTATGTGGGAAAACTTCACTAGAGACTCTCCACTATCGATTTCTCTTAGATGTACAACTGTAGGACTTTCACAATTATTTCCTGCTGATGCGTTAGAGCTTTAACGTACTCAAATTGATCTTTCAGCACTTTGCCGTTCCCTCAAAAGGATGTGAGCAGCAGCCTTTACTTGAACTGGCTAGAGGCAATATCTCGCGATCTGCCATGTGTGCTGCTGATTCGCGGCAATCACCACAACGTTCTCACATTTTACTCTTAAACTACTTCACTTCATTGACTACTCTCCATAATGTTGTTGAAATAATGAATGCTCATGAATAAATGAATAGAACTATGGTAGGATTTGTTTCAAACACATACAAAGTGAACTCATTGCTCTATTATGGAAACCACAAATATAGTGTGCAGTAGGGTAGATGAAGTAGCGGTCGAAAGTGCTCGCCGGATCGGTTTTTTGGTGCGTCCGGGGTTGCACGCGGCGAATCGCGCGGCGGGCTGCGCGGCGATCCGGACGAGGCAAGTCTTCGCGGGCTCCTGCAGTGGAATTCAACACGTCAGAACGTGTGCAGATCGCGGATAGAATCCACAAGGTTCTGCTTTGAAAGAAACTTCCCACTCGCGGAGATCGGTGAAATGCAGCGGTGTCAGTGAGAAGATTACAGCGAAAGGAGATGAAAGAGAAACTTCATAGAAATGTCACTATTAAAGGATAAAGGATAAAGCATTTGCCGTTGATCAATCCCTTTTTGGGATGCGGCACGCATTCTACTTCCATTTGTACATTCGTAGTGGCGTTTGAATGCGATGTGGCCTATACAATTCAGCCGATACAAGTCAGTGTTTTTATCCTCCCAGACAAGTCTGGTACCAATTAACCGACCCCGGAGGGATGGAAGGCTTGGTTGGCCCGGGCGACTCACGACCCAGGATTTGATCCCCGGACCGCTCGCGTGGTAAGCGCGCCACTTGTCACTACACCACTTCCGCCCTAATATCAATACTAATAACTTCGAAAGAAGCATAAAAATGGAGTCATTTATGAGATGAATTTATTGTCACCCTAATCTGCACCGCGCGCTCGCCCGTCCTGAGAGCAACCTCAAAACAACGACCAATGGACAGTAACTCAGAGCTAAGGCCCCTCATATAGGGAAAACCTAGGAACAGGAACTGATTACATCCCCACCGACAACCCTCCCTTAGGCCTATTGATCTGAAGATTTCGTTTTCGCAAAAAGTGTCCACAACTTTAATGCAGGGACAAACCCCCAGGGGGGAAAAAAAAACAAAAGTTTTCCCACTAATAAAAAATATAAGCTGCAGACAACGCGGCAAATGAAAAATCTAAGTCTCATCCGAGAAACGGAGTGCCGATCTCATGGGCAGAACTACAACAGTTCCCAGCGAAGTTACTTTTAGGCTGTCGACATACTTACACGCAACGTATAGAATCCACATCAAAATGCCGTTGATCGAAAAGAAAATGGCATGCGCATACAAAACTTGATTTCGAATAGGAATAGTGTGCATGGCGCATACAGAAACGGATTGATCAATCATGAAAGTCCCGACTTCCACCAGTTTATCTTCGTTATTCGAGCACTCGCTAGTTATGGTAGATTGAATGAGAGAAGAATTAAATCATTTATTAGCTGAAGCTCGAGGTAAGTGTATGGTACATGTAAAACTAATTAGAACATCTGCGACCCGTTTAGACCTTATACAATACTCTCCTTGCTACCGAATTCCTTTTTGCCTGTGTCCGTTTTTCGTTGAAGGTATGCGCTTGTCCAGACCTCCTGCATCAGAATAGTTCATCGTCAGGCATTCCGGTATCATTAGCTCATTCCAACCCCACGCCCATAGGTCCAACACCTAAAACTAATAGATGCTTTCCAAAAATAAGCAACATAGGATAAATGTGTTCGGTAGGAGGGTGTGAGACTCTATCACCCAGATCAGGTTTGGACCCAGGGAGTCACTGAGTAGCTTCTAGATCACAATTCTTCAGAACAGATGACTGCACCAAGGACTTCTTTTGACCCGCTTTCAGAAGCCGTTTAAACCACCTTGGAGAGAAAATACTTGTGAAAATGGATAGGAGTCTATCACACAACCTTTTTTCAGTCTACTCAGGTTGAACATAGGTAAAATAACTCACGTGTAGGAAAATTTTTCTGATATCGCTGTTCATTGCTTCGTCGTCAGCACACATTTTGGCACGGATTTTAACTATAAGTCGATCGATCAAGTAGGGATTAAGATTGTACAGCATGGATCCGTGTTCTGCCATTAGAGTCCCCATCATCTTAAACCACGAAATTACTACGATCGCCAATTTGAAAACGACCACGACTCACTTCTAAGTCTTCAGAGCATGGATGATCATCGATCAAGATGTCCAGGCACTTGAACATCGGTTTCACTAGACATTTGGCCACACAACCATCGATTTGGAGGAACACAATATACATACTAAAGCTTGGGAACTCATCAATCAATAGCTTGCCTAAATGGACCATAAGCAATTCATGTAATACTTACTCGAATATTGCCTTAACGCTGTTACGGAACATGAGCGTTGAGCGACTTCGAACCTCCAGTCGATTACGGTAGTCATTCAAAAGCAGCGCCAGAACGCATGAAGACAGCGCGAGTCCCGACGAATTTGTCTGCAAAAACATTGGTCATTTTACGAGGGGTGCTGTAAAAAGAGGAGTATCCACGACATAATTGACTGCTCTCGCATCAGAACCCCATCTTTTTCTGCTACAAAATGGCACTTGCGCCATTTTGCAAGAAAAGGGCTAGCTCCCGCGGATTCCATGAAGCCACTACCAATCTATTCTTACGCAGGGACGAGCCCACATTTTGCGGCATGCTGACAACTGGCAAGACTGATAGAAACTGTCTGACACGACCTCACCTATGACGTTTTATCCACTGTATCTGTCGCGATCGGATATTTCAATTGAATTTTTTTTTGATGGAACATTTCACATAAATCACGGCACCTTCTCAATAGAGGGCAGAAACTTGGTCTTTGCTGAGCAGATCCAGTTTCCAGTCGTCTTTGTTACAGGCAAATCGCTGAGTCGGTCTTTGTTACAGGCAAATGTCGCTGAGAATGTGGAACTTTTTGTTACTGGAAGTCAGAGGGTTTCAGGAGCGGGTTTAGGACAGCATCGCACGCACGGTCAGATTCTCTTTCCGGTTGAACAGCAGTTCTGGTTTCGCTCGACTGCAAGAAACTCGAATTAAAAAAAGTTCTTAATCTGGAGAAGTGGTGGGGGCAGCGACCGACAAGTATTCAAAGCCATTAAGAGTGCCGCCAGTTTTTGTACAGCAGTTTTTTTTTTGCGAACGCGGCGTTCTTCTCTCGACGCTGATATTACTAGGAAATACAAGCAGTAACGGGCAAAGAGTGTTAGCAAATAATGTTACACTTCGCGATTCCATCATGGTTTTGCATCTGACTGGGTGAAATTTCAAGGGCAAGCTCCGGTATAAAACCTGGTGATAGGAGCGCTTCGTAATGATGAATGAGCTGCGGGACGGCCTGAAAGTGGAGAAGGAAAGCTAGAGAAATCTTTGGGATCGCTGAAATCAAGGCCTTAACCTTCAAAAAAAGGATGTGGAACGATGGCGAGGCAGGGCGGTCAAAGAAGACAAAACACGCGAGAGATCACGCCGTTCGAGAGAGCACGCCGATTCGTGGTGGGTCGGAAGCGTTGCAGGCCCGTAAGGATTAGCGCCCTAACCGCGCAACTTTTGCGGCGAAGCTGGAGTGATCTAGGTAGGTAGCGGACCTTACAATTTCCCTCGGTATCCCTCCCACAAGGCAGTCTAGTCCCGGGAATTGCCTTAAAGGCAGTACGGTTCGCTACTGGCCACGCTAGGTCAAAAATGGCGAATTTCACAAACCATGGTCGCTGCTGTATTGACAATAATATATGGAGCATAGTTACTTATCAGGCTTGCATCGTTATCAAGTTAGCTTTCTGGTAAACCTTTTTGTTCCCATACGAAACCACTGAACTCCCTACACTTTTGACTAAAAGAAAACAAATAAAAGCTCACCTTCCTTACGTGCAGCACAATGTCAGAGGCAAGAGGGGCGAAACGGCTATCAGCTAACCATTTCTGGTGTAGCTGCTCGGCCAACGCTTCTGGCGAATGATTGTGAACCAGGACACTATAGGCCTGCACTAAAACAGTCTCATTGTAAAAAGCAGAAGTTCAATGTGATTTTCGGAAGGGCTTGGATTCAATGCATCCTTTGAATTTTGCACTCTTCTACGATTTGCGCAGATCACGTCTAGCTCCGACGCAGGTTTGATTCTACAACTTTTATAGCTTTTGCAACAAGCCAAACCAGAAAGTTTGGTACACGAATCCTACAAATGAAGTTGCATGAATTCTGCCAAACGAGAGATTGAGTGCGCTTCCTGACTGCGCAATGTCAGACTTGCCCTAGTCTTTCTATCTGAGAACTGATGCAGACCACTTCACCTCTCACATCCTCGTTAGCTTCTGTACTTTTCGTAACTTCTATTCCTCCTCGAATAGCCGGAACATGGGGCTTGCCAGCCTTACAAACCTGGGAGTGGTCCCTGTTGAGCTAACGTCGCCAAAGAACTGAAGAGTTCGCGAAGTTGGTCGTCGTCCATCCGTTTTTCCGCAAAAGCACTTGTGGTCATAAAGCTCTTCTGTGCTCTGAAAAAAGGCTCATTCGCAACATTAAATCCACTCAACAATTTTTGTTGCGCGAAATGAGCATAGGAATTGATGGATATCATGTATTAAAATTTTTATGTACATCTATTAGATTCCATGGAAGAAAATGTCCACCATTAATCTGA